CCTTCTTCAGCCATACTCCAACACCCATGTCTTCCACACGCTGCGCAAAGAAAAATTGGTCGCCAAAGAAAGGCTTAATAATGGTAGGGATTCCAGCTCGCAAGCTTGCTCCTGTAGTGCCGGAGCCACCATGGTGCACAGCAGCGTCCATCTGTTTAAACAACCAGTCGTGCGGTGCGGCCTGAATCTGAAAGATCTCAGGTGGAAGGGGAATCTCCGGCTTTGAAGCGTCTTTGGTCTCCAAACGATCAGACCAGCCTTTAGATAGCACACAGCGTACGTCTGCCTTCAACACAGAGTCTACGACAGTCCTAGTAAGTGCTGCGGGGTCGTCGATGACAATGGAGCCGAACCCAACGTAGACCAGCTTTTTGCCATCTGCGCGTGCCTTTTCCATGAATGCCAATAATTCGGTGGGAGGGTCGTATGAGTCGCTCTCATCCAGAAACCAATAGCCAGTGACACGAACCCAATCCGGCCAGTCGAGGGGCGGTGGCACCACATGGGGGCTGAAGTTGTACAGGAACGGTCGGAGACTCGCCTGCATCTTATGCTGCGTGGTTCCTTGAAGTCCCAATTCTCGGCGACGCCACTTGTTGATCTGACCAGAAATTGCAGTCCAGAATATAGTATCGAAGGTGATATATGTCAGACTGTTGTATCCTCCACCCATCTTCTTCTCCAACACAGAAAAGGCATGGGGGTAGGCTCGAGTACGTGTCCAAGGCATCGTGAAAGCCCGAAAGTATGGAATCTCCAAAGCTTCAGCTATGTGAATTCCCGCCATGGTGCTAGGACTCTCAATGAGCACATCTGCACCCTGGCAAGCCCGCCACGAAGAACTACACACGTCATCCAGCCATCCACGGAACTTGGAATTGGCCTCCTTCATGAACCCATACGTAAACATGCCATGTTCGACACAGATGCGCATCAGTTCAGCTGGGTTTCCATCAACAACGGCGAAGTCGATACCGTGTTTGCGCACCCAAGGCTCAAACTCGGCGTGTGTCGCAATGCGCGGCTTATGCCCCTCCTTCAGGAGCTCTTTGCATAATGCTATGTACGGCTGTACATCTCCTCGGGATCCAATGGTAAGGCAAACAATGTTCAACGGCTCTGGAGGTTTGAAGTCCACAAACGAAGCGAGTGGGTCGTCGAATATGAGGGGTATCCTGTCGTGGTCCGCAGCACGGACGATCTCCGATACATTAGCTTGCTTGCCAGTATCCGTGTGCTCGCGCGCCTGCTGGAGCAAGTCATGTTCTGCTTTGGCCGCCTCGTCTCCACTATCCACACCCGAAGAAGACGAATCTTCATCCTCGAGATACTTCGTATTCTCCAATATACGAAGCACTGTGATGGCACACTCGTCCCGATACTCCGCCTTTGAGAATTCGAAAAAGAGCTCTTCGTGACCTTTGATGACAACGGCGAGACCATGATAACCGATTCGGAATCCTTTTTCTTTGTTCACATTTTCGATATCTCGCATAGGGAGTATGACCTTGGTCTTTGACGTTGGCATCAAACTGCGGAAACAAAAATATCTTCCGCTTATGTAGATTTTGCCATAGTTTGGCAACACTCGCTGCAAGGATGCGAAGAAAGAAGACTGCAAAATCTCGGTTTCGGGAAAGGCGAAATGGTCGCGGAAATTCTCTACGGCCTTGGCTGCATCCTCATCGTCCTCGAATCCATGAATTTGATCCCCAGTCTCCAAGCCTTCAGCGGTGTTGTAGTGCTTTCGTCCGCCCGCAAGCATGCCGGATACTTTTTCGTAGTAACCCATCGACTCGCTTGCTAACAGAGTACCCATCTTCTTCGATCGAGTCCTCAAGAATCCAGCTAATCCCGATGCTTTCTGGAGTGGGTAGGAGGCAATATCCTGTAAGGCCGAAGATGATCCTGACATGCGAGGATTTGCTTGACTAGCGTCCGTGTCATCTTCAAAGTCAGGCGTACCCGTTATGGCTGCGGACTGTTTGGAACGTTTTGTGACATTTGTAGTCTTTGCTTGAGCTGACCGTGTTGTTTCCTGTGAGTCCCTATGTTGTAGATCGAGTTTACTCAGTGGTGCGTTATCGACGGGTAGGTTTGTGGGTCCACGGAAAAGATCGGAGCGGTCGAGTATTTGAGATGCGGAAGCATTGCTTTCATCTATCGATTGGATTGCGGCTGATGATTCTGTGCCTGGTTCGAATGAGAGCGTCGCCGACTCAGAATCCGCTGCTCTGGGGGACTGAGGCGAATCGTCTTCCGAATAGTGCTTGTGTTGCGTGCTACGTGGGTCACCACTGAAGCTTTGTTGCGGCTCATGAGATTGACGTGTCTCATGGCTTGAGCGACGAAGCGCGTGGGTAACATCCATGCTTCGTCGCACATCCCAGCTCTTTCTGTTGACTTCGTTGCTAGAACGACCGGACACATCACTTATGCTCGATCGTCTGACATGCGTTACAGGCAATGGTGATAAAGTAGCCCGCACATTTTCGCGGATTTGGGGCATCTCACTAGCATCTGTTGGAGATGTTATGGAGCCACGATGAGAAGCGGGTTGATTCTCGAGTTCACCAGCATCCGGGGTAGGCTGATGATGCTCGTTGTCATTGATCATGATGCGGAGCACATTGAGCGCATCTTGGCCGTTGTTGAAAAACGAGAAGAAATACTGCTTGTGTTAGACATTCTAAGATAGACCTTGGACAAAACATACCTCGTCTATGGCAAACGTCTCGTCGTTGTCTATTACACGGACCTTGACGGTATTTGCAAGGTCCAGTATCGAGCTCTCTTCAATCTCCAGAACATTTTGGATCGGGAGCGATATCTTTACACTGTTCCCGTCGTTATGAGTTCGGAAAATGACCTTCTGAATCGATCTGGTCCATTCCTTCGCACTCGCAGCACTGTCTGCTTTGAAAACATATCTTCTTTCGTCCGTTGTTATTGCAAAACTAGTCTCTTCTTCGCCTTTTTTCGTGCTTTCAAGTACTTCGGCAGTCAGGGCGTACTGGAGATTGATGCGATTTCTCGGAAAGTAGAGTTCTGCTGGGTTGGTGTAATATGCGAGTACGTCGCCACGCAAGACGAACCAGTATCTGTTCAGCTTCGATCGGCCACGCTTGAAGAGATAACCTGTTTTGGTGACATCATGCTATTGAACATAAGTAAACTGCAGCAACTTCAGGCAATGTATGCTTACATGCTTCTTGGGTAGGTATGCATAAAAGCATATGTGCTTCTGTGTGATGTACATGTAACCCTGTAATAGGATACTTTGAAGTAACCAGCATGGGTATTCGGATATGACCTCCTCAACCTGCTCGAATTCAAATATTTGCTGGATCCTTTTCGCAAGCGTCACAGGTTGTTGGCTGTTATCCACGCCGGCCATGCTTCCATTTCTGCTCTTCCGTCCAGTATTGGATGCTCTTTCAGCATGTGTTTCCTCGCCCATTGTGATATCGACTTTATCCTTTTCCATGTCCTTGTCCTTGCCTTTGGGCTGCCATTTCTTCAAGGCTGCTGTAGATTGACTGAGCGATGGTTTGGGTGGTAGAAATTGCGACGAAGACATTGGATGGGCTCGTGGGCCTTCTGGGCGTCCTTCTTTCCGGCTCGACACCTTCAGCCTGGGGAGCGAGCGTAAGAGCTTGTTTTCGGACAGTGTCCGTCTGTGCTTTCCTTTTGCCACATTCTTGTCCTGAGGCTCCTCTGTCGAGATGTGAAAGTCATTTGCAGAGCTTAAGCGACTCAATCTGGCAGCGCTGTCCAGACCATGGTACGATGCCTGCCGCTTGCCTTCATCTTCGCTATCACCGGAGTCAGCTTCCTGCATCGTGCCGAGGTCTGTTTGCGACTGCTGCCCTGCGCGAGCTATCATGGAGAATAGGGATTGATTCATCGACATGGTGTTATTTCGCTTTGGCGCCGTAACATCTTCCTGAGCATCATCACCATCCTTGAAGCGCTCCGGCACATCAAGCGACATGCCGCGGGACTCCCGTCTTGAATCTCTTCGTCTTCTGCTCATTCTTCGAGTCGATCTGTCTCTGTCTCTGTCCTGAGATGCCATGTTGGGAGGATGTGGTGGGTGTGTGTGCTTGCACTCAACAAACGATGAGGGTCGACGGCGTCGGTAGGCTGGTCAGCGGTGGTACTACGGCGGGCCGAAGAAGGCAGGTCGAGTCGGGAAGGGTAGTATAGATTACTATTACTGCAAGGGAGGTCGGAGGCTGCAAGGCAGTTGGGGTGCTTTGTTGAATGTCACATATTGGAAAGGTTGGAGGAATGACTTGGACGGGTACACGGTGAGCCATGCACGCTCATCAGCCACGAGACTCCCGCAGGGCGCCTGTTAGCGTGACATGATAAGACTGCCAGACACACTCCCAGGCACCAGCACCAGGCCCCTCGGCTTCACTTGTCATGTGCAGACCGCGTCATACTCGCATATGGACTCGGACAGCGACCTCGTCGTTATCAACCCACGCGCTTCGGGGTTGCGTGCTAGGTTGCCAGCCTCCGGTTGCCGCCATGGGCCAGCCTGCAGACGTCATTGGTCCGTACTTATCGATAGCGATGGACATTTACGCCGCATCAAGCCGTATCTGCCACATGCGTACTACTCTACACTATCATGTACTTGCGGGAATAGCCCCGAACACCCAAGGCAACTAGATGGCCGTCCGTCTAGCGCATGCTCTGCCACTTCTCCGCGTTGACAATCGACAGTCGGCAATTCTTCACGGCCGGTTATCATTATATGTACTACTACTACACCACACATCACGCTGCGACGAACACCGTGTTACTGGACTTGTTATCACATTTGCTATTATACGTACATCGACCGTGTTGCCATGTCGAGTCAAAATCAATACCTCCCAGACCCTTTCAACCAAAGCTAAATTTCAGCCAAACTCCAGTCACTTGGTCGACATGGCTTCTCATGTCATTTCGTTTGCTATTTGGCCATCATGTCCAGGGCTACATGTTTACTTGGACTTTGCAAGACCGACAGCAGAGTTGCCCAGGTCGTAGACAGAGTACCACTTCCTGAGGAAAGCGTCGCCGAGAATAACAAGAGGTCCGGCAGGTTCGGGGATATCCATACCCATGAAAGCAGAGATGCAAGATCCCTGGACATCGAGAACGTAGTCATAGGCGTCAATAGTGAAGTCGTGTCCAGTAAGCTTGAAAGTAAGGTCGGGCAGACTGTCGCGCTTGCTGCAGTCGACTGAGTACTGGCCGTTGTAGCCCTTCTTAGCGCCAATCGCCTTGTTGCTGTACGTTATTAGCGCCTGCATCACTATGTACCATGGATCAGTCCTTACAGAAGCTCAGCAATAGCCGAGGGGAGAGCAATCAGAGATGTGCCAGTGTCCAGAATGGCACCCATGTCGTCCATCTCAGCAGTCTCGTCGCCAAACGTGATGGAATCAAGGTCAACCTCCCAGTAGGCCTTGCGCCTCAAGGGAAGCTTGGTCAGCTTGCCCGTGTAGTGGCTCTTGTCGACACCGCCAAAGGTGGCCTCAGACTCCGTGCCGTCATTGGTGTTACCAAGGTAGAAGGCAAAAACAGGCTCGTCGAGCAGACCTTGGTCAATCATATTGTAGAACGGCGGGACTATGCCGTTGACACTAATAGTGTCGTAGCCAAGACCCATGATGCCATCGAACCTGCCAAAGGCAAATGCGAGACCAGGCTCAGAGGTAGCCTCGGCAAAGTCCTGGTTCTTCACCTTCACGTCGCCGATCTGGAAAACATCGTTCGAGACAAATCCGCTCAGAGAACCCGATCCGTACGAGATGGCGAATTCCGAACCGTTCCCCTTGTATGTAGATGAGAGAGACGAGTCGTACTTGGAGTGGAGATAGCAAGCGATGGAGCTGCACTCAGTCGATGGGACCCATAGGTTAGAGCTGCCCGTGTCAAGTACAACCTTGAAAGACTGAGGAGGTGTGCCGAGGGAGATCTCGGAAAAGTCTAGGGGCGTGTGAGCGCTGATCATACGACACTGCGAAACTTATGCGACATACACTGCGCGTTCAGGAAGTTGGAGATGGGCACAGGGTGCGATCCGTCTGTAATGTGGGGCGCCTTCAGGGCAGCCGCCATCTGAGACTGAGGCTGGAAGTTGGCCACGCGCTGGTGGGAGTACTTCTGCTTCAGGCCAGCGAGTTGGGTCTGAATGTTGGCATGTTCCTGGCGATCATCAGACAAACGTGCCAGCGCATGTGACTGTGATGAATGCTTACCAGCTGCTCAGAAAGCGAGATCTTCTTGAGTGGCGTCTTGTAGACAGCAGCAGACGCCGAGCTGGCCGCCGCGAGAAGGATCGCCGTCTTCATGATGACGGGCGATGAGTAAGAGAGGGATGAGATGTAAAAGGAGGATGGATAGGTGTGCGATGGACGATTGGGAAAGTCGTGGGGGAGAGATGGATGGAGCGATGGAGCTTAAGCTGGCTGCAAGCTAAGTATGGGGCGGGAAGGCATGGGGCTGGGGAAGCGCGGCCTCTGATTGACGTATGCATGGGGCTGGCGAAGCGCGGCCTCTGATTGACGTATGCGGGCCATGGCCTAAACACCTAGCGTGTCACGTTCCCTACTCGAGTCAGCTGCGTCTTGCATCTACTTGCTGTACGCTCTAGGCAACACACGACGCGCCGTCCTGAGCAAGCAAATGTGCCGCGAAAAGATGCTGCTGCTGCTGTTGCTGCCGACTGCAGTCAATCAATTCACATTATGTCATTCAGTCGCCGTGCACTTGCTTATCGCCCAGGCGGCTGCAGAGAGCTTGCGCAACGCGTCAAGCTCCCATCACTGACGCGCCAAAACACCCTAGCCTGTTCACATGATCCTGAGCACTGATATTACATCGAGCTTCTCGCCCTGTATCCCAACCAGAAGGCAAACGATTGCGTTATATAGTAGTAGTAGTAGTAGTAGCAGTAGTAGTAGCAGTACACTATGTACACCACCCATGATCAGATAGTCGCATCCGGTTCGTCCGTGTATTGTGGCGCCTGGCCCGGAATCACCTCCCGCTCCCGGCGCAGTCTTTCCAGATCAGCCGCCCACAGAGCAGAACTTGCAGGCGCTGTCATAAGAAAGAACATGCTGAATGGCGGCACAAGCTGCAGGAACAAGTACGCTGTCCCATACCTGTCGTTGGTCAGTTGCATCCCTACTGTCACATGCGAGCCATATACCAAGTGTATTGCCATCGTCGCCTTTTGATGGCAAGATTCCTTTGCTTGCGGTCGTAGCCTAGAAGCTGGAAGTATCTCCAGTGCTGAAGCGGGCCCGCCCGATAGCCCGTCAATAACAAAAATATCGGTACGCCAACGTACGGCACAAAGTTGATAGGCAGCAGGAGGATGAACTCGGCGATCTGACGAAAGGAAAAGGGCGCATAGACCGAGGGGCGTGTGGGCTTCCCGAGTCGGTGTACAGGATCGTTCATAGCATCTTCGGAGAGGGGCCGAGATTGGCGGACCAGGTCTTCATAGCCTTTGTACACCAAGACGGCGTCAAAAATATCGACTTGAGATTCATCCTGCACGGGATAAGCACTTGGCCATAGCCGGTGAACATGGCACGAGTACATACCACCAAGAAAGACTCAAATAGTAGTGCGACTATGGCTGCTCCCTCTCCAAGAACAAGAAACACAGCGTTGACCCAGGCACTGCCCGCAGGGTGGAACAGCTTGAGAAATAGGACTTGGGGTAGCAAGGTCCAGAAGAAAAGGTTGAGAAGCACAAACACACTGAGGAGAAATGCTGGGAGTAGGCGGGCTTGTAACAGTGGATAAAGAAATGGGTGCGCAATGAAGAAAATGGTGCCCTGTGGCATTGTTAGCTGGCCCAAAAGACATGTGTATATGCACATGATCGGTTACTTTTACAAGGTACAACGCCGCGACGGTGTTGTCCCAGGTTGGCTGGAATACAACTCTTGGGACATTTGCCAGAGCTGGCCGGGGCCTGTGTTGCGACATGTTGGAGTTGTTTGCTCTACTATGTAATAGTGGCTGAAAGTTGCTTTGGAGGGGACGCGTCCAAGAGGAAGTTACTTCAGGAATGACGTACCTAAAGGTCCAACTAATGACTAGTAATAGTAGCGTGTCCGTAACATTACCAAACAAGGGCCCTCAAACGAGCTTCGCCACGCTTACCTGGGCCCACCCGGCTTAGGACGCTTTCCGTCGGGGAGACACGCGAGGCTTATGCGCATATGCAACAACGGGAGAGCAAAGTACTTACTGGCAGTCTATAAGTAACCACATTGACAAGCCGTCGGCATTCCCAAAACACCATCATCCCACGTTTTGCAAGAGCCAAGGCAGGCAGAACCGAGGCCAACCGTACACCATGTTTCAAAATCCATCTGCAGCTACCTGGACATATCATGGTGCTCGTGTGAACCCCGCAGTAGTGGAGGCATTTCATCGGACCCTACCTGACTACGCCGTCACTCCTCTGACTGCCCTCCCTGACTTGGCTCAGGAACTCGGTCTCGGACACGTCCTGTTGAAAGATGAATCACTGCGTTTGGGCCTACCAGCATTCAAGATTCTCGGTGCATCATGGGCAATTCACAATGCCATATCCGCCAGGTGTAGCCTTCCACCATCAGCCTCACTGGATGAGCTGGGAGACGCTTCACGGAAAGCAGGCATAGAATTGGTGACATGTACTGAAGGCAACTGGGGCAGAGCGGTTGCAAGAATGGCAAAGTACCTGCAGATCAAGGCCGTCATCTTTGTGCCCGACTTTATGGATGAGGCCACGCAGAGGAGAATTGCGAGTGAGGGGGCAAAAGTCATTGTCGTGGATGGTGACTATGATTACTCTGTTGCAAAGGCAAAGGAAGAAGCGGACAAGGGTGGCATGTTAATTATGGATGTGGCTTGGGAAGGTTATGAAGAGATTCCAGAGGTGTATCCCCACCCGTGCACATGACGCGAATCAAGAAGCTGACCTTGACTAGTGGGTCGTCGAGGGTTACATGACTATGCTCACAGAAACCGATAGGCAATTGGAGGAAATGGATCTGCCAGGTGCGACGCACGTATTTGCTGCTGTCGGGGTAGGGTCGTGGGCGCAGGCGGTTACGATGCATTACAAAGCCCAGACTCACCCTGCTACTGTCATCACGGTTGAACCGGAAGTCGCGGCGAGTCTCCAAGCTAGTCTTCAAGCCGGTGAAATCACGCCCATTTCTACCAGCCACACAATCATGAACGGCATGAACTGCGGGACAACATCAAAGACGGCATGGCAAATCCTGAAACATGGTGTCGATGCAAGTGTCACGGTATCCGACGTTGATGTGCATCACGATGTGCAATACCTGCACAGGCAGGGTGTGAAGAATGGACCGTGTGGGGCAGCCACAATGACTGCACTCAAGAAAGCATGCAGTATGCAAAAAGCCGGACTGGGTTTGGATGAAAAATCGGTAGTCGTCTTGTTCAGCACAGAAGGCGCAAGAGAATACACCATCCCAAGAGGCGCTTGATTCGGCGGCCAATCATAAGTCCAATCACGCTACCAATACATCAACCCAGTGTCTTGGACTTTTTCTCCTTTTGTCTCTCCATGACATTCAGCACATCATCAGCATTGTTCTTGTCACCTTTTCTCTTCTTGCCCCCACGCTTACGTTGCTTCCTTGGGCCTTTTGTGCCATCTTCGCCCTCGTCTTCGTCGCCCTCTGCACCGAGCCCTTTCCACTGACTAAATTTGACCTTTTCGCCTTCTCTCTCCATCTCTTCAGCATCATCGAAACGTGACGCGCCAAAGCCCATATCCATATCCTCCATGTCGCGGTCAGCCGCAGCTAGCTCGGCAGCGCGCTTTTTGAGACGTGCCTCCTTTGCTGCGGGATCGCTAGGATCTGACGATCCCAGGTTCTGCAGCAGCGTCGAGTTCTCGTCCAGGCTTCGCACCTTTGCAAGAGCAGCACGTACAGTTGCATCGGCAGCAGCGATATTGGAGCCTTGGCTGGCATCAGTACTGCGGGCCACTGACTTGAAGTAGTCTCGTTTCGAAGGCGCGCTAGACACGCCGTCTTTGAGCAATTCTTGGTTATTCGGTTCTGTTTCGCTAGAAGACACCTCGCCTTCTGATAACTGTCCGCCGTTTTCTGACTTTGGAACAGAAGATTGTGGGCCTAGTGTTGCTTCGTCGGACTCGTCCCCGTCATCCAAATCAGCCAGTGGGTTGTAATTGGAGCCAACTCCTTCAAATATGTCCTCGTCTTCTGACTCGTCTTTCTTGGGTACGGGGAGATTGTGCATGTTGATGGGCTTCCTTTCGTCGTCCAAATCATGGCGGACTTCAGGCATGGGTTGGGGTTCTGTTTTTTGCTTCTTGACCTTCCTTTTCTCTTTGCCGTCCGGGCCGGTGATGATGAGTACCTCGCGTCCCTTTTCGTCCGTCTCGATGCGTGATGTCTCGCCCTTTGCATTTATCTTGCGGAACCCAGGCCCTAGAGTAGGGAACTTTTTCTCGTGCTCGGCTGCCGCTGCCGCAGCAGCTTCCTCTCGCTGTCTCTTGAGTTCGTTTAGGATGTCGTTACGACTCCGCTTGACGCCCGCGACTGGAGGTGGCGAAGATATCTTTTCGCCCTTTTTCTCTACCCTTTCGCGCACAACAGGACCAATCTCGGCTTCGGCCAGCTCGTCGAAGGCGTCCTCGACATCTGGTGCCTCGTCGGCGTCTTCTTCTTCCTCTTCTTGTACTTTCTTGTCCTGACCTCCCAAGACGTCCTCGCCACGTCGCACTCTTTCGAGCAGTTTTCTGTCGAGGCCCTTGACCAGATGTGTAGTGCCAACATCGCCGCCGGTAATGTCCTGTACCAGCTTCTCAAACGTCTCGCGGTCGATTTGGCCAAGCTTCATGGACTCCTCGAGGTTCTTTATGCGTTTTGCGATGTCGTTGTCTTCATCGTCGACGCGCGTCTTGGTACGGTCCGTGTATCCTGCAGCCAGCTTGGTGCCCTTGGGCGCAGAAGATGCGGCCTTCTTCTGGGGGTTGTTTTTGGCGTTGCGCTCGGCGAGCTGGCGGGCGAAGTCGGCCTGCACCGAGCCTCTTCCAACCTGGCGACTGTGGGCGTGTCAGTGGGAATCGGGTATGCAGTTGCAAGGAAACACTGACGGCGTCATGGAGATGCTCGAGTGTTTGCGCGCACCCAGCACCGCCCTCGGCGTTGGCGCAGCTGGAGACTTTTGCTTGTCTCCATCTCGCGTCTTGGGGGTGTCGACAAGCAGCCGTCGGAACTGCGAGTTGTTCATGGTGAGTGCAGTCGAGGGCTTTGTAGGGCGTCGTGGATCGCAAAAGCGGTGCCAAGCCTATCCTACATGCTACTACTGTGTACGTACTAGTAAGTAATCATACGTGCATGGATGGCAGGTGCGGCCTGCAACTACACACTAGCCAGCCTCCCCTGGCGCGGGGAAGCTTGGGTCGCTTCCACACCACCGGCCTTGCCCCAAGCCAAGTATGTAGTGTACATTGTCACAGAGAGAGCACTGCGAGGCCACTCGTCCGTCACAGCACATGACTTGCCAGGAACCGGCGCATGTTTGCTTGTTGCGCAAATCCTTCCCCCGCACACGGGGCGTCATGGCCGTTGTTTTTGTTTGTACATACACACTAATACATGCATTCACCCATGAATAGTTACAGGTTTCCTCTTTCATGTCACTTCCCTTTTAGGACTGTTCGCTCCACACCACCCCGCCTCTCCGCCTAAATACTCTGGCCACCCGCTCCTCGCCTGCTCCTCGCCTGCTCCTCGACTAGTCCTTGGCCGCCTCAACTCCTCCTGCTTTGCTCAAGCTGCCGTCTCTCTCCATCCTCAGCATGTTCAAGCTCTTGGTCACTGTGGCGCTTGCCATTGGCGCTCTCTGCCAATACTCTCCTCCTGCCAACTCGACCTCGACTTTCACCAACCCCATCGTCGACACGGGTGCTGATCCGTAAGCTTGATTGCCACCGTCGCAGTGAGAATGCTAACCACCGTTAGTTGGATGTTCCGCCATGGTGACTTCTACTACATGACCTACACCAACAACGTCAACATAACCCTCTGGCGCAGCAAGTCGATAACAGACTGGAACGGCGCAGAGTCAAAGACCATCTTTCACCCGGAGCCCAACAAGCCCTACTCAACTGACCTGTGGGCTCCGGAAATCCACCAGATTGGCGGTGCTTGGTGGGTCATCTTCACTGCCGATCCCAATTACGACTCACCACCGCCTGAGGTCGAAATGTGGTGCGAATACAACTGTCCCGCCGTCAATCACCGCATGTTCGTCGTGGCTGGTGAAGGTCAAGACCCGTGGACTGCTACCTACCGGTACCATAGCCAACTCGAGACTTATGACCAGTTCGCTATAGACGGGACATACTTCCAGTACAAGAATCAGCTGTATCACATCTACTCCTGCTGGTACCGTAAGTACGATGGCTGGCCAGCCAACCTTTGCATCACCAAAATGTCAGATCCCTCTACAACGACCTCGCCCTTCTCAGAGCGCCAGGTCATCTCGGTGCCAGAGTATGCGTGGGAGAAGACGCCTTTTGGTCGCGCAAGCAACGATCGCCTCTCGTCTAACGAGGGTCCTCAACAGCTTACCAACCCTACCACGGGCCAAAACTTCCTCATTTACAGCGCCGCCCGCTCAGACAATCGCAACTATTGCCTTGGCCAGCTCGAGCTTGTTGGTGACGACCCAATGAATCCTAGTGACTGGCGGAAGCACCCGTATCCTGTCTTCTATCAGAACCCTAGCGAGTCTGCGTATGGTGTTGGCCATGCGTCCTTTACCACTTCTCCCGACAATACCGAGAGCTGGATCGTCTATCATGGAATGAAAGATCCGACCAACGGCTGGAGCGCCCGTACGATTCGCGCTCAAAAGTTTGACTGGAACGAGGACGGTACGCCCAAATTCCCAAAGCCAGGCTATGGGCCTTATCAGGTTCCTAGTGGTCAGTAAATCACGATTTTGGGCGACATCTTGATAGTACAGGGCTCGTTGACATGTGGTTTGTGTCCGTTACTCATGATCCGTTTCCAGATGTCTTATAGTATCGGTGTTTCCTATCCGGACTGATCTCTGCAAGGCGGATCATACACTTCTGTAACTGACAACCGATTCTGTGTCCTTTACTGGGGTCACATATAGACTATCAATGATATGAATAAGTCTCTACAACGTTGACCAGGCTACTATGCATATGATGCAAGTATTTCAAGATGGTAGACAGTTCAATGAGTGGTCATTTTGCTAGACAGCACTCTTTTCCTTGGCTGCTCGCCTGAGTCTGCTTTTCTCAATAGCCTCATCAACCTTTGTCCTTCTCCAACTACAGCTGTCGGCAAAGTCACATATTCTGCACTTGAAAGCCTCTTCTATTTCCACTCCTTTTGCCTCTCTCTGTCCCTTCCACCACGCCATTTCATCGCCGATGTACTTTTCAATAGTGTCAGTGTCATAAACCATGAGCTCTGATCCAATAACATGGCCATCCTTCGCATAGCGAAACTGTGCGCGAACAATGGACGATAGACTTGCAGGAGGAACTGCGGCCTGCATTTCGGTAACCAGCAGTGACCACAGAGAGAGGAGATTTGGATAATCGGGGGCCTGGTTGTGGGGGCCGATGCCGCCTACCGCTTGCATAAACGTATCGCTGAAGCTTTCGAGGGGTTGCAAATCGTAGCGTGAGAAGACGGTCTCTGCATCCACCGTATTCAACGACAATGACTCGAGCAGTTTACGATAGAGCATCAGCTGCATCCGTGTCGGACGCAACGAGGCCCCAGCAGGAAGCGAGTTTGCAGACCTCGTCTTAACATCAGTTATGTAGATCTGATGATCAGGCTGTGACATGCCTCTAGTAGAATCCTTGGCAAAGGTATCTGAGATTCTGAGCTGGCCCGAGGGTAGAGGAATAATGCCACCATTTTTCTCAGCGCGAGATTTCTCAAGTTGCTCTTCAAAAGCGGCATCAGGGCACTGGTAGGACAATTCATCGATGATGCCATTGACGACCTGACCTTCCAAAACCCCCCACACTTCCAACTCTCGGGTAAGCCCAGTCTCACTTAGACAGCGCAAGCCAGATATCGTGTTCCATATACGTAGGCCAAAGCGATCTTCCTTGGTTTCAACTTGCACGGGTACTGTGGTATGCACCTCGGCCTCGAGCTTCTCGTGGATCTTGGAGCCCGTGCGCATCGCCTGTGTTCTCGGTTTGCGCCCAAACTTGCTCAAAGTGTACAAGTATTGCAGTTCACACCATGCCGGAGAGACAAGGTCTGTTACTGACAAAGGCTTCTTAGGCTTGGTGCGAAATCGTTCGAGTGGCGAACCATTGTCGTGCTTGGTTTCTGCTGTGCTACGACGCGAGCGAGACGGTGATCGCCGAGGAGACAAGGCCGGTTGTTCGAAGGGAACTGGTGGCTGTTAGTCGTCAGTCGACATGGACACTTTGCAGCTGCGGCAATACTGGACTTACCACTCCATGCTCGCCGCGATCTCTCGTCGTACTCGACTTCCAACGTACACCGATCTCGTATGGGAGAGCTTTGTGGATTCCTCTGCTCATCAGCCAAGACAGCTCTCGTGCCTTGAGCGACACGCAGCACTGGTGGCTTGTGTATGTGCACGAAGCCCTCCACATCCCGCTCTTCATCCTCAATCTCGCCTTGTTCAAACTCTATACTGGGCAAGACTGCGCTTCTGTCGAGAGGAGCTGTGCCTCTTATCGTGGCAAAGACGCTTGCGAGTAAGATGTCGTCGTCGATATCGATGTCTGAGCCATAATCACTCAGTGTGGCGACAGATTCAATTTCAATATCCGAGCCATAGTCACCCACTTGGTTCGTTAGCTGCACATTCGGCGCTGTCATGATGCCATGATCCAGCCGCAGTGTGCTGGTGGTGCGTGTAGTTGCGGTGGCGGTGGGGCGCGCTCCAGGCTGGCGCGCTCTCGCGTCTGCCTATGCAGTACTCTCTACTCATGAGGTCATAGGCCTTTACGCACATGCAGCACAAGCCGGCTCCAAGTTGTAGTTGCCCATGATGTTCATGTATGTATAGAATCTGAGCTATTCAGCACAACAGGCTCTGTCTGTGTTATAGCTTGAGCCATTCATTTGCACGGATTACTGGCGCGATTGATCGTGTATAAGAAAAAGTTACATCACGCGCCGACGTGGCCCCCACATTGTGAAGTGCAAAACGTGGAACGAACGATGGAATTAGAAAGGAACAACCAAATACCCAGGGGAAACCCAAGTACTAGCCGGTGCACACTAGTCGCAGGGAACGCTACAAAGTCTTGCACTTGCGCCTTGCATGGCTTTGTTGGGTTCAATTCACTCGCCTCTATCTTTCAGCAGCGCATCAAGTCCCTCGTTGAAGTCTGGCATATCGTCTGCACGCTCATTTTTCCTAGACCACCTCACTATACCCTCGCCATCTATAGCAAAGTCACCAGCGGTCTGCCACCTGCTGCCACTCTCAGTCGGCCTGACTTTGATGCCTTGTTTATTGGCCAGTTTCAGAACGCTGGGCATGCTCGCCAGGACGTGCCAGACGCCCGACATACCCAAGCCCCACGCAGCGTACGTCTTACGCTCCGCATCAACAATGACATGGAGATTGGGTTGTTTATTTCGCGTAGGGTCGGGTAGCGAGGCAAGCCATTTGTCTGTAGATTCTTGGTCGCTGTGAGAAACAGCCACGAAATGAATATCTAGATGAGTAGGTGCAATGGCACGCAAGTCAAGGAAAGTCTTCTCGGCGACTGCAATGATTTTGTCAAGACTGTTTGGTCTAGAGAGGGGCTGAATGCCAAAAAAAAAGACTACTTACAAGGACAGCCGCAGTGTCTAAGGAAACTAATGATGGTTGGCTTGCCATTCTGTACAAATCCCTCTGATCTGGGCAATAAGGGGGCGTTTTGGCCGACAGCCGGTGCATCGGCCGTCTTCAGTGGAGGAGGCGACATCCATGATGATAATTCACGTTGCCAGGTCATTGCGAAATTCAATGTGTGTGGATCAAAGGCGCGACTGTAAAAAGTATATCGAGACACGAGAATCAGCGCGAGTGACTGCGGCCGCACCCACGGCTAAATGTCTCGCTAGTCATATACTCGACGTTGGATGTAGTGTGGGTAAGCAAGGCATGGTGGCAAAATGACGTTAATGGTAGGTTGGCACAGTACAAGTGGATCACAGGATTGGTAAGTATCAAAGTCACGTCGCAAGTAATGAAGAGCTTGAAGTGGAAATCTATTGATTTCGTGGGATATCGACCAGTGACCACTGATTAGCCTGGATATACTACATGCTCAGCACCGCTCGTGTGCACTCATAAAACCGAGTTGAAGACCGTGAACCATGAAAAAACCCAAACGCCTGTACTACCCGAACCAAAGACCCATCACCGACCCGAGGATGTTGTCATGTCGTGTTGAAGGTGAAAAGTTTAACCACGCTCACCGCGGAGGCGGCGGGCGAGCTGGATGTCCTTGCTCTGGATGGTGACACGCTTAGCGTGGATGGCGCACAGGTTGGTGTCCTCGAAGAGGGAGACGAGGTAGGCCTCGACGGACTCCTGGAGAGCACCGATGGCGGAGGACTGGAAGCGGAGATCGGACTTGAAGTCCTGGGCAATCTCACGGACAAGACGCTGGAAGGGCAGCTTGCGGATGAGGAGCTCAGTCGACTTCTGGTAGCGACGGATCTCACGGAGAGCGACGGTACCAGGCTTGTAGCGGTGAGGCTTCTTGACACCACCGGTAGACTACAGATGGTTAGAGTGGCGATGGAAGGCGAGGCAAGAAGGGACTTACTGGTGCGGATTTGCGGGCGGCCTTGGAGGCAAGCTGCTTACGAGGAGCCTTGCCACCAGTGGACTTGCGGGCAGTCTGCTTGGTGCGAGCCATGGTTGTTGTGGTGGTGGTGGATGGTGTTGAGGAAATGAGTTGTGTGGATGAGGCTGATGAGTGGAGCTGTGCAGTGGATGAGGGATGGAGACGGGTGGGCGGGCGCTGCTTATATGGTAATCGGGGGGGCGGGCAGTTGCCTGGAAAATCACTCTTTGTTGCGCGTGCAAAGCAGGCCCAGGAACACCAAAGGCCAAACTGCTGGCAATGCGCGCTGCAACAAAACTCCCAAGTGAGCGCGCTTGCGCCATTGGCTCGCTTGGCCGCGCGCCCGAAAGGGAAGGGGCACGGTCGTTGATCTGGAAAGCGCGCCCGTGCGTCACTCTGATCCGGCGTGGAAGGTGTGTGATCTGGCGCCCGCCGTGCACGCGCCCCCTCGCCCTCATAAACACCACTACGCCTGCCCAGTCTCCAGTCCAGCATCCAATCTCACCGCGTCTATCACTCAAACACGCTCCAATCCACTCTACACTCTCTCCCAACCAACAACCTCCCCCACACACATCCATCAACATGACTGGTCGTGAGTACTCCCATCTGCTGGCCTCCGCCTCGACGACGCGTCCAGTAGCGCGTCTACACCTTCCAACAGCACACTAACCCATCATGCAGGCGGCAAAGGTGGCAAGGGTCTCGGAAAGGGTGGTGCCAAGCGCCACCGCAAGATTCTTCGTGACAACATCCAGGGTATCACCAAGCCCGCTATCCGTCGTCTCGCTCGTCGTGGTGGTGTCAAGCGTATCTCAGCCAGTATGTGTCTCGCCGCTCCTTGGACCTGATCTGCCGCTAACCCTCTACAGTGATCTACGAGGAGACTCGCGGTGTTCTCAAGACCTTCCTCGAGGGTGTTATCCGTGACGCCGTCACCTACACTGAGCACGCCAAGCGCAAGACCGTCACTTCTCTCGACGTTGTCTACGCTCTCAAGCGACAAGGCCGCACCCTGTACGGTTTCGGTGGTTAGAGTGTTTTTCTTCACGGTTTTCATGTTACGACTTTTGCCGACTTGTTCAGTCCATGGTCGGCTTCGGTGCTCGGTGGGATGGTCATAGCCTTGTACAGTATACTAAGGCTCGGAGTTCACGGTTATATCAGTCGGTTTCTGCTTTGCATGGAATGATACCATAATACTTCAACTTCTCTCCTGTGCCTTGTGATGTCTAGTGTCCTCGTCTACATGTGTCTCGTGATTTGAACTCCGTCTGTACTGTGATCTCTATGTTTCTTTGCTGTCCGTTTCATCCCCTTGTATGTAACGTGCAACTGCTATGGTCTCGACCAGTGATACTACATCGATTTTGATCCCCTCCTTTAGGACGTCGTGATTATTCTATGCCTACTATACCATGCACTTTGATTGATACAAACTATCCGTCATTGTTAAACTACCACTGACCTGTAGATTCAATGATGGACCATGTGAAGCCGCTTGCATAGCCTCTGTTCTCTCGTCTCTCAATAATCTTACCGTTTGCTGCTCTCAGTCATGTCAATTTTGAATTACGCCGATGACGTCACTGTATGCACTCACGCAGTCGAACATCGTGATTATTGTGTTAATTTTGTTAAAAGCTATCGGATAATTTTCTTTCATATATCAGTATTCTAAATATTCATTTTGAACTCAATCGGACCTGTTGGTGGTGCATTATTAATTTTTGTAATGATTAACTGTTTCGACAAAAAGTAGAAAATGTTTTTTAGTAGCATCCAGCATAAATTTCAAATCACCACAACATCATCTGAGAAAATCACTGAAAAACTGACGCATTACGTATTGAACGCGTCTTGATACCAAACAATTCATTTTCTTGACATCCATCGTTATGTGTCGCGTCACACAAGCTGCTGTATACATGTGTTCACTTGTTGCGCCAAGCAACACCAGGGAAGAAAAAGTAGAACCTGAACACTACGCCACGTGCAATGTCATCCATTACGCGCACTCAAAAGCGGCCTGAACTACGCGTTCTAAACATCTTCATTATTTTATCTTTGTAGGTTGATTCAATGGACAAAAGTCGCGAAAATAAAACATCACTACGCGTCACAAGAGACTCGCACACATGTGATCCAGAGACATGTAAACATAACGCGTCACTACGCATATCTAACCCACCCATACTCTGACATGGGGAGAGAGCAAGGGACATCCGCCAGATTGGCATCTTCAATCCATGCCAATGGGGAGGGAGGAGCTCAGCCGCGTAGCCTTATAACCTTCTGTCACTGCGATACCCAGCTTTTCTGCCACCGTTATGAAGCCTCTATTGCCATCACCAAGACCCACCCACATATCCACCCAGTCGGCAGTGCGTGCTTTCTTAATCTCTTCGTCGCCCCAGTCCTCCTCACCAATGCGCTCAACATAGATGGTTTGCAGACCATTTTCTTTGGCGGCCTTGAGATCGTTCAAATGAGCAGCTACCATGACACACTCGGCAGGCGCGACGCCTAGTGCTTTGACCGCACCAAGGTAGACTTCGGGCGATGGCTTGTAGGTGCCGAACATCTCGGACGAGAAGAGGTGCGTAAAGGGTATGGCGGTGAAGGCGCGGAGATCGGAGAGGAGGCTGGGTAGTGACTTTAGCATCAGCCGGTCAACGCGCACGCCCCAACGTCGGCAAATCATGTTGGCCACAATCCATGCTCCTAGTTGAGAGCGCGTCCTCGTTTACCAATGCATGCATGAGAGTGCAGTGCATCTCGCATAGGAACGGAAGCTAGCTTACCTCATGTTACCGTTGGACAGTGTGCATGTTGCTATTTCCGTTTAGCGACGCGTTGCAACCAGGTGGCTAGCCTCGACCTACCAAACAGCTGGTTTAGCAGTTGAACGCCCAAAACAGAGTCGTCCCATGGCACCAAATGATGCCAACAAAGGCTCAGAGCGCGAATCTCATGCTCATCCCACAAGCCTTGGAGCTCCCATTTGGCTATGAGCTCCTTGAGTGACTTGAGGTGATGATCATCGACGGTCATCCAAGTGGACGAGTGATCCGCCGCGAGTTTCTGGGTGAAGACCTTGTAGCTGTCTCTCCACTCCTGCGCAAATCGTCCCCAATCTTCTTCCGTCATGGCAGAAGCTCGTAGTCGAAGCTGTGAAGCTAGCGATGCAGTGGCGGCATTGAGCGACTCGTGAGCCTTGTCACATAGGGCGCTAACGACGGACTTGCGCCAGTTGACGCAGGTACCAAAGACATCAAAAAGAAGGGCCCGAGGTGTCGGAGACAGAGCCATGGTGATACCTGTGATAAGCCTTGGAGCGACCTTGAGCAGTGGTGTTGACGAGTTGGGGGCTATCTGGTCTAGCCGCGGATATGATGGCTCCATGGTCGATTATATAGTAGTACGTCACCCGGACAATATTCGGAAATAGTCTAATGCCTGATGGGTTGGATGGCGAGCAGCGCGGATTGATGGCAGAATACAGTATGCTTGGGTGTAAGGAAATGTTCGCTTTGTCTTGCAACTTCCAATGTATTTGATCATGACCGTCGTGCCCTGCGTCTAATTGCCCACTCTCCTACACTTGTCCAGTGCTCGAACATGAGAGACGACAGCACGACCGTGGTTAGGACAGGGCGAACAGCAATCAGACACATTCGCTCTTGCCAAAAACGCACTCTGCGGCAATCATACTCAAACTTAGATAGACGGGTGCAGACGCGGAAGCCCGAGTGTGATCTCTGTGCATCTTCCTGGCTTTACATGTCTTCAGTGATACTGCATCCCAATCAAGTTAGTGCTTCCCCGCTACTACTTGGTGCTTTGCGGAGATCTGGGCATGCCCAAGCTGTTCGTTCCGAGGTATTACCCCCACGGCCCATTGGACCGATGCGTCATGACAAAAACGGAGCTCTTGCGCGATTTAGATGCTCTTCCATCCAAGGCCCCTATCGACTGCTAATGAAACCAGACCACATCCCGTTATCACAGTCTCATCTTGTGCAGCTCGCCTTCAAATCCGGACTCAAACCCAACCATGACGCCACATCAACACATCCAGGACCAAGTCTATGCAGCGTCAATCTCCAACCCTGAGGCATTCTGGAAGCGCCAGGCAGCCAATCTTTACTGGCACAGAGAGCCATCGCATGCATTCCGGAAAACGACAAAATATCTGAAGAAGAGCAACGTGTCGCACGAGCATTGGGAATGGTTTGCGGACGGCGAGATATCGACAACTTACAACTGCGTTGACCGTCACGTGGCCAACGGAAATGGAGACAACACTGCCATCTGCTGGGACAGTCCAGTAACGGGTCAAAAGGAGCAGTACACGTACAAGCAACTGCTGCAAGAAGTAGAGACCCTTGCAGGCGTACTGAGAGAGGAGGGAGTCAAACAAGGGGATGTCGTTCTCATCTACATGCCCATGGTGCCAGCTGCTCTGTTTGCCATGCTGGCTATTGCTCGCCTTGGAGCCATACATGCCGTCGTCTTTGGCGGCTTCAGCTCGGCGGCACTGGCACAGAGAATTGAAGCAAGTAGGCCCGTGGCAATCATGACAGCATCGTGCGGGATTGAAGGAACAAAGAAGCCGACTGGGTACAAGAGCATGATTGAGGGAGCGGTTGACAAGAGCAAATTCAAACCATGCAGAATCATTGTGTGGCAAAGAGAGCAGCTGAGATGGGACCCAATAGTCAAAGAAGACGGGCAGCGCAACTGGCAACGACTGGTCAAGAGTGCGAGAAATCGAGGGCTCAAGGCCGACGCTGTACCGGTCAAGAGTGGGGATGGAATCTACATCATTTACACGTCGGGAACGACTGGGCTGCCAAAGGGCGTGGTTCGGTCGGCAGGGGGGCATGCTGTGGGCCTCAACTTTTCCATCAAGTACCTCTTTGGCATCCATGGTGCAGGCGATGTCATGTTTACTGCCAGCGACATTGGATGGGTTGTTGGACATTCGTACATTGTCTACGCCCCGTTGCTAGCTGGCGCCACGACGATTTTATTCGAAGGCAAGCCAATCGGGACTCCAGACGCCAGTACATTTTGGCGTATTGTGGAGGAGTACAACGTCTCGACCATGTTCACTGCTCCAACAGCTCTGAGGGCGATACGGAGGGACGATGGCGAAAACCACTTCTTTGAAGCCAGGGGCAGAAGGGGTGCACTAAAGACACTTCGAGCCCTATTCCTGGCAGGGGAGAGAAGCGAGCCGAGTATTATCCGCATGTATCAGGAGTTGCTGACCAAGCATTGCGCTCCGGGCGCAGTGGTGGTAGATAACTGGTGGTCATCAGAGTCGGGTTCTCCCATTTCCGGGATTGCACTAAGTGCTTCGTCAGGACTGGACTTTTCTTGTCAAGAGCGTCCAAAGCCACTTGCAATCAAGCCAGGCTCGGCAGGCAAGGCTATGCCGGGATTTGATGTGCGTGTGGTGGATGATGATGGCAACGAGGTTGCGAGGGGCGAGATGGGCAATATTGTCATGGCGATACCGTTGGCTCCGACGGCGTTCACAACGCTGTGGGAAGACGAGGAACGCTTCTACAAAGGCTACTTGAAGAGGTTTAATGGCAAGTGGATTGATACGGGAGATGCGGGCATGATGGACGAGGAAGGGTATATTTCCATCATGGCACGCGCTGACGATGTGATCAATGTCGCGGCGCACCGGTTCAGCACGGGTAAGTTGAGTTTAGCATGCACTTATGGAGCGGCGTGTATATGCTAACAGCGATGATGAGGCGCCATTGAGCAAGCAATCACGTCTCATGGATGGATTGCCGAAGCAGCTGTGGTGGGAATTCCAGATGCCTTGAAGGGGCACTTGCCATTCGCCTTTGTTACGCTGTCTAGGCACGACCATCCGGAACCGGCAGTCATGGACGAGGGGCTGTTTGGTGAGGTTCAAGGGCTTGTACGGGAGCAGATAGGTGCCATTGCTAGCCTGGGAGGCATCATTCAGGGAAAGGGCATGATACCCAAGACGAGGAGCGGCAAGACGCTGCGGCGAGTGTTGCGGGAGCTGCTCGAGAACGCGACGCATGGCGAGTTTGACAAGGAAGTGCAGGTACCCAGCACGATTGAGGACAGCGAGGCGGTCCATGTAGCGAGGGAGAAGATTCGTGAATACTTTGAGCGAAGAGGTAAAGGACTGCACCGAGCAACAGAAAGGCGTGCAAAGCTGTGAATCGTCGTACTACTAGATAGTCTCTATTGTCTACTACTTGGTAGCAAGTATGAAATTGGGATGGGGTGGGGCGAGGGCAGGCCGGGGTAGCCAAGGAAGGATGATTTCGGCACAGTTGCTTGCTGCGTGGTGCGAGTGTTTTGGCATGACATGACAGGGCGTCGCCACAGGGCAGCAGCTCGCAGAGGCAGTCGGGCTAGGGCGGGGGGGTTTGAGCTAAGCGGGCCATGTGCGGGCCAGTATGATTGTGCGTGTGCGTGTGCTTGGGCATTGGTTGGCCGTGTGGATGAGGAGGATGACGATGGCGTGGGATGGAGCATAAGTAATGTAGAGTAAGAGAGCATGGAGCTCAACGGCGCCGGGATTGCAGCGGGCCGCTCCCCGGAAAGTCGACGAGAGGACAAAGCAGTGGTTCTCGATGGGTGAGTGATGTGTACTTGGCTGTGACGGTCAGCCAGCCAGTGGAGCTGGTAGGACTAACTAAGTAAGTACTTAGTGTGTAGGAGTAGTGTAGTGGGTAGAGAGAGAGAGAGCGGCCGAGCGATGGGCCGGGGGGGTAGGGGGGGCCCAGCGACACACGTGCTTGCAGGAGGCTGCGGGCGATAGTGAGTGGATGGGGAGGGCGGATGGTGGAGGCGGTGGAGTGGTGGGATTTGGGGTAAGCAGCAGGGCGCAGCGGGCCAATGAGGCGGGCCGGAGCCCGGCCGGCGGCAGGCCGGAAGCAGGCGTGTTGGAGGCGATAGGGACACGCACACGCAGCACCAATCCGCCCGCGCGTCGTGGACCTTCTTCCTCCCTGCGCCTGTCGACTCAAGACTCGACGCTGATGGCCCCCCCCGGCTCGGCTACAAGCTGTCGCGGCTCAGCCTCCTGTTCCCCGACCGTGTGCGTGTGCGTGAGAGCACCCCGACTGACTGAAACCTCTGCTGGGAATGGGAATGGGAATGCGCGAGCCATGGGGGGTGCGAGGCGAGCGGAGGGGGACGGGAGGGGGGGATCGAGGGCCATTCACGGCCATGACAGCACTGCCTATGTGAATCCACAGCCATGGATGCATCCAGCCATGCATCCACATGCCACAAGTACATGTGCATACACTCTACTTACTTAGCCAGACACATTGGGAGCGCCAAGGGGCGTCCCGGGCGACGGCTATTTGGACTGCAGTGAAGCGGACTTACCACGGCTCCTGCCGTCGAATCACAGCGACACCAGGCCGTCTCAGAGCAGAGGGCAGCGAGGGCCGCATCCAGGTAGGTACATAGTTGCGCTGCATCTCTCCGCGGCACGCACCCGTAGTGCCGAGCACTCGCGTTAGCAGGCGTGCTAATATGGCGTTTGGCGAGGGTGGACACAACGGGCAGAGCGCAGTGCGTTGTTTCCAGCACCATGGGCCACGGCATCGGCGTATAACCCACCAGGCCATGGCCCAAGTCCATAAGTATATTGGCACTCGGAGCATGCAAGCCATGTACAGTTATATATATAGAGTGTATATATAACCATTGTGTCTATATATACATGAGGACATGTAAAAACTTGGACAAGGTTAGTTGGACACATGTAGGCATGTAGTGAGTACATGTACATAGATGTACATGTAGCAACGGCGGTGCTGCTTGTCGACAGAGCGACCTGGACACGACTAGGCGCACGCTGAGGTCGGAAAGCCCGAGGGAAGGGAGCCAACCTCAAAAACCCCGGCTGCCCATGTTGACCTAATCGCGCGTTTCTTTTGACCTCGCCCATTCCTCCTGCCATCTTGACTGCCTGTCCTGCCCTCGCCCGCCGTGAGTTTCGATGCCCGCAGGTCCTGCCCGACGTGGTTGTTGTTGTTTTTATTATTATTATTGTTATTGTTGTTGTTGTTGTTATTGTTGTGGTGGTGGAGGTGGTTGATAGGTGATTTGCGCACAGGCTGAGCCAGCGCCCGCCCGGCCGGAGCAGCGCTCTCTTCACGTGGGCACACGAGCCACTGCAGCCAGAGAACCCTGACCAAGACTGCCACGGCTCGCCCAACATCTCCCTTGATCTCGACCCTGTCCGTCCGTCATTCTGTCTGTCTGTCTGTCTGTCTGCCTGTCCGTCCGTCTACCCATCCACCCCATCCCACCTACTCACCCTCACCCATCCGCCCATCTTTCCCTGCCTGCACCCCGTCCGCCTCGCTGCTGGTGCTGGTGCTGGTGCTGGTACTCCCGCTCTCGCTCTCGCTCTCGCTGTCGCTGTTGCTGTCGCTGCTGGTGCTGCCGCTGCCGCCGTTGCTGCTGTTGCTGCCACCGCCCTCTTGTCGCCCTCGCCTCGCTGCGCCGCGCCGCGCCTCGCCTCGCCTCGCTTCACTTAACCTCTTCTCTCCTCACCTTCGCCTGTCCAAGCTGCCTCAGGCCCATCACCTCCCTCCCCGCTCGCTTCTGCCGCCGCCGTTTCCGCATCCACCCTGCGGCACACGCCACGCTTCCGCCTCGTAATCTGCCTGTGCAACCATTGTCCTCACCACTCCCTCTTCGATCCTCAACTGCCTCCCCCAGCCCGTCGACACGCGCACCTGTCCTGCTGTGCGAGTGTCGACCGCCGTCGGACACAACCACAACCCCCGACCACGCTCATCCTACCTGCGCCGCCCCCTTGGTCTCGCGCGCCCGTTTGGACTCTCGCTTCCTCCCTGTCTCTCCCCGTCTCTCTCCTCCCCCCTCCTCGCCCCCTTCTCCGTGGCATCGCAACCTAAGCTGAGCCTACCGGTCGGCTACAAAACCACTACTTTCATCTACGAGCCTTTGTGAAGAAAAAAGGATAAAACCCAAAAAATTCTCGGGACTCGCACCTTGCCCTACCCGCTGTCCTATACAATCTGATCTTTGCCTTACCCGTGGCATCGGCGCATACCACCTACTACCACTACATCTACTCCACTACCGCCACCATGGCAGGGAAAATGACTTTGTACAAATTGGTGGTGCTGGGCGATGGAGGTGTTGGAAAGACCGCCCTGACTATACAGGTACCTTGATTCCCCTCCCCTTGTCCTTCCACTCTGCCTCTGACAAAGCTGACATTTGCTAGTTGTGCTTGAACCACTTTGTTGAGACATACGATCCTACCATCGAGGACTCGTATCGAAAGCAGGTGCAGATTGACGGTCAGTCGTGCATGCTCGAGGTGCTCGATACCGCCGGCCAAGAAGAGTACATTGCCCTACGAGACCAATGGATACGCGACGGCGAGGGCTTTGTGCTCGTCTACAGCATCTCATCGCGCTCCTCTTTTGCCCGCATACAACGCTTCCACAGCCAAATACAACGCGTCAAGGAATCCTCCATGGCTGGCTCACCCACTTACCCCGGCTCGCCAATGACTGCATCTGCCCCCATGTTTGGCCAGGCCCCCGTCATGCTCGTTGGCAACAAGTGCGACCGCGTCACCGAACGCGAAGTGTCGACCCAAGAGGGACAAGCTCTCGCAAAAGACCTCGGTTGTGACTTTGTCGAGGCCTCTGCCAAGAATTGCGTCAATGTCGAAAAGGCCTTTTTTGATGTAGTCAGACAGCTCCGACGACAACGACACCAGGGCACTGGCCGCTCCCCAACCGACCGAAAAGAACCTCGGGCGCGCCCCGGTTACTCCGAGAAGGATCGCTCACGAGGCGGAGGCGATCGACGCACACGCGGCACTGGCATGACTGGAAGCAACAAGCGCGGCAAGGACAAACCCAAATGCGTCATCTTGTGAGGTGCCACGTTTGTTTCTTCACCCTCTAGCCCACGATACATCTTCCGATATATATTTGGATTTACAGCACAATAACCGGCTGCTACTTGTTCCACATCATCAGCCGCCATCACTGATAGAAAGCACTCAATAAGGCGTCGGCATATGAGCGGCGTTTGCATCGATGGTCTTGCTTTGGTTTTGCATGAGACCCATGGAGTATCTGGAGTACTATGAACATTAGCCTATTCTTATTTCCTTAACGACCAAAGTCCGCGCAGCACTGACATCTTGCACGACACTGTACGGCTGATTTGATTAGTGGGTTGCCTGTGGGCGTGTTGCAAGCATACACTTGTCGACAAACCCCAAAGACGATACTGTGGTAGCATGTGAGTTTTTTTGTTAGCGGATGGCATCGGGAAGTCTCAAAATCTGGAAACGGACGGAAAAAGTCATCGGTTCAGTTTGGGTACATTCTTCTAACGCCCGAGATACCTTTTTGAATTCAACGTCAATGTTTGTTCTAATATACACATGTCTCAATCTATAAGTGCATTATCTACCACTACGATCCTACGTCTTCTCTCTCTCTCTCTCAATCTACTCTTAAACTATCCTTCTTCTCTCTTCTATAATTACTCTAAACCTACTTCTCTACCTAAGCTTCTATAATACTTAAAGACTAACGTGTTTCACCACCGAGTCGTCAACCCCACCGAGTCGTCAGCTCCACCACCACACCCCACCTTTGCAATAATATTACGCAACACTACCATGATTTTTCTTATTAAGTAGAACAAGACATCATTCTTTAAACGCGTCGCTATCTTCTATCTTCTCTAATTCTATTTAGCACGTATAGGAATTATGTCTAATTTAGCTATAACGTACCTCACGGGTTCGTGTCACACACGGGTTCGTGTCACAGTTTTGCCAAGCCCCCACCAAAACCACTACTACCTACCAATGTTACAACAACTACAGCACTTACAATCTTCTCGTGAACGTCAAATACAGCTTGCGCTTCAAGCTCTT